GAATGTATTAATTTCAGACTGAGATTCTTGTGTTAATATGATTCGCAACAAAGCGCTTCTCTTTCGACTTGGAAACTCTTTTGACATTTAAGAACAACTATCATTGTTGCAATATCTTTAAAATAGAACTCGCTTTTAACATTTTCTATCACAGTTGGCGTCTTATAAAAGCAACAAATTTTAACATTTCTTAGTTGTTTAATTAAAATTAATTGCGAAATATAAATACATTCTGTGTGATATCTTGTTATTATTTACATTACTAATATTTATAAATTTTGTTGAATCACTTATAATGATATTTATAACACAGATCCATTAAATGTTATAAAAAAAGTAATTTAAGTTATTAATTGTTGAAATGTAATTTTAATTATAAATTAGCTTTAAGTTCTATAAATATACATATAAATAGAGAGAAGTATCATTGAAAGATTTATTATTAAGAAAAAATTTGATAATTTTAAAATAAGTATAATTAAATTTGTTTAAACAAGTGACGATTATTTAATGTCCGAGTATGGCTTTGAACAGTGTATGTATCATTAAATCAAGTGCAGGCTGTAATTAATTATAATTTGACAAACAATACAAATTGATCAGTACTTATCTGAATTCAAAGTTATTTGTGAAATATACAACACTCCACGAACACATAACTGAAGCATCGAAATAATATATCATGAGAAGGCTTAACTATGGCGTAGTTTGAATCATAATAGCAGCGACTAGATTGTGTTTATCAAAATGAGGCAAATGCACAATGATGTCGTGTATAGTATAATACTTACTAGAATATTTCAATCATTTACATTTATAATAACATGATTGTAGCATTCTTAGATTGTAATTGATTAATTCCAAGAGTTAAATTCGAATTATTTTAAGCAATCAGATTTATCTTATTTTATTATAGGATTATTTTAATAATTAACTAACTTTATCAAATACCTTTTTTAATATGATGTTTTTAAATATCTTTTTTTAATATTACGCACAATACAAATTATGAGTTAAACTAGAACGTGCTGAAATCCTTTTCTCATTATATGAAAATAAGAATACCTACGGATAATAACTTTGACATACGCCAATGCAAACATTGGCGCATGTCAAAGTTATTACGCATATGCGAATTACGTAGAATATGTTTACAGTTGGCGTGACTAACGTCAGCGGCACCATTAGCGAATTCAATGTGGAAGAACAAACGTGCTTGACCTTTTAATGTATGAACGAGGTCGCGTGGGTGTCCGCACCGCTATATACCATCTATACTCATCTCATTTATGGTAAGAGCATCAGTTTGCCCTATTCTCGTGTACGAGACAACAGCAAATGGAAAAATTTAATTAACGATGCGCAATCAGCGCAATATCATTTCTCACTGTGTTGTACATTTACATCACGTGTATAAGTTATCAGACGTTCTAGTGAGTGTATTATAGGTACAATAATTTACTGCCTAAAAATTATTAAATGGGAACTTTTGAACATTGTATAGAAATTATTACATTATTATTATTGCCTATTATAAAATGCAAATAAGAACATGAGAATACAATATGTATTTCAGGAAGTTATAACGCTAGTAAATATAAAATAAATAGAATCTACGTGCCAATTGCAAGTGTTATGAATAGTTATTAGTGATAAGATAGATTTTTCGTGATAAAAGAGAGAGAGAGAGAGAGAGAGAGAGAGAGAGAGAGAAAGAGAAAGAGAGAGAGTGCGTATATGCACGCGCTAATCTAATTATTATTGACTATATTGATCAAATGTGA